CGGAATGAAGCCGGCACGACATATCTCCTGTGGAGTCTGCATCCACATCTGCAGCCCCAGACTTGCCCTTTTGCAGGCCCATGTCAAGGAGATACAGGTGGCTACAGCATTGCTGGCAGTGTCCTCAGACAGGAGGGGGCTTGCTGAGGGGCCAACAATTGTGAGGCACCTGGGAAACTCAAGGGGCCTGACTCCAACAAGGCTGGCCCTTTGCATGGTCAAGGATGAACATAGGATAAAGGGCCTGGGGCCCCTGAGCTGGGCTGACCCAGAGGGCAGGGCACAGAGCACATGCTCTGGACCAGAGCACTCAGAGGCCAAAATGCAGAAATGTTTAATGGTTTGGTGAGCTACTCTAAGTGAGCAGCCAGGAGTGGAAGAAGGGTCTGATAACCAGGATGAACTGGCTGAGATATCTGGGAAATCATTTGTTTGGAGAGTATCTGAGATAAGAGGGCCCTGAAACCAGATCAAATACTACCACCAACAATAGCCTGTTACATCCACCCTGCCGGGCCCAGTGACACCTGCCAGGGCAAGGGAAGCCCAGGCGGTTATACCTCTGGAAGAGCCTGAGAAGCCTCACGAGCCCTCCATGACCCCAGCCCTCCTCAGAACACTCAGGACTCAAAGGTATAGAAGTCAGGGGGGTGGAGTAGAGAGATCAACAGGGGACTTGGAAATCACATGGTGGCCTTTGAGATGCTTGCCGCCTAGGAAATCAGCCACACTAAATCCCCGAGTGGAAACTGTGTTCAGTATCAATTAGTGTCTGGTCATGAAAATATCAACCACTCCAGATGTTTCCAACAGAGACACTTAATACAGAAAATGAATTGCATACGTGTTGGTAGAGCTCAGAGGCCAACAAAGGATGGGGGAGCAATCAGAGGTCAGCAAGAACAGAAGCCGCTGTGATCCTCAGGGACGGAGGGACAACATCTGCTACCAGAAACCAGGTGCCAAGGCTGTTTGGCAGGAGCTGGAACCACGTTGGAGAATCAGCCACCCTGAAGACATCCATTAGAGCAACCAGGCAGAGGGAGAAGTATCCTGCCTCCTCACTTCGTCTTTTCTGCCATCTCCACCTCTTCCCACCATTGGTTGACTCTAGTAAGAAGCCAGTTGACAAGATAGGCTGGGAAGTGGATAGGAAATAGAAGGGCAGAAAGTAGATCTGAAAGCAAGCAGACATTGCTCACTCTATGTCTCAACCCGAGGAAGTTGACCTACCGTTAGGGTCTTTGGTGGCCAAGGACTAGCTTCCCTTCTTCCATGCCTAGTTCAGAGCTTTCTGAGAAATAGATACCGAAGTCAACAGAAAACCAAACATTACCTTCAGCTTCCTGCAGCCCTTGAGGCTGTGGTGTTAGGGTCTCAGCCAGCTTGCCAACACCTGGTGCCTGAATTTGACAGACTTAGTGGGTCTCAGGCAGAGCTGGACATCTGAGGTCCCACCCCTCCCCCTGGTGGAGAGGAGCAGAGAACATGTGTTTTCTATCAGCAAGAAGTTCCCAAAAGTGTAGAATCCTCATATCCCCCAAACTCATCGACAGAGAAGCTGCCTCCTCCCCGGGATGGCAAGGAGAGAGGCGGCCATGAAGGCCTAATGAGGGCCTCTCCAGATGGAACCAGAGCTTAGATGACATCAAATAGTAGTCTCCAGTGGGGAGTGCCGACAGTCTCTGACAGCCCTGCCAAGGCGCTGTCCAGCCTCGCTGAAAAATGATCAGTGATGAGGGCTCAGGACCATTCAAAATAGCCCACTTCATCTTCACACAGTTCTGATGGCTAAAACATCGTTGCCATTCATCTGAATGTTCCCCGTGATTCCTATTTCTCCCTAGTGGTTTCATGTAACTCCCCTGGTCTTTTTGCAACAAGAGGATGTTGAGGAAGAAGGCAAATACAGCAACCTGAGACATAACTTCTCCAGGCAAATACCTCCACTCCCTTCATTTGTTCTACGTGACCATGTTTTTCCAACCATTCAGCACCCTTGTCACCTCTTTCTGGACAAATGCAATTGCTCAGAAACTGAAGAATAGCACCCAGGGCTACCCACACCAAGAAGTCACCCTGTCATCCCTGCCACCAAGTGGCTCCCTGGGGCCCTCCTCTGTATAGGGGTTTCAGATTTGCCGTCACTAGTCCTACCTGATGAGATGGGTACAATTGTTTCCCCATTCGGAATTAGGGAAACTGAGGTTCAGAAAGGTGTGGCCCAGGCTCACATAGCTATCAAGTGGCTGGATCTGTCAGATGACAAAGCCCATGTTCATTCCACTGAGACACACTATTCCAATTACTACTTTAGCATGCAAAGCAGTAAGTACCTACTTGCAGACCCCAAGGTGGAAGGAGAGCAGAGGAGAGTGAGACCTTGTGGCTCTGGACCCACAGGGAGAAAGAGGAGGACAGGGAAGGGGAGCAAAGGGATCCAGAGACCCCATCCCTTCTCTTTCCCGACATGGACATTGAGCCTTTTTGGCCTGTTGGTGACCCTGTCCATTTGACTGAGAGTAATGACCCTTCCATTCCCAACAAAGCCAGAGAAGGAGGAGCACGGAGCAGCAGTGTCTGCTGGCTCCTCACAGATAGGACACCCAGTACATTGAGCCTGTTTCCTCATATTTATGTTAATGTGTTTCAGGCAACTAGCTTGGCTATAGACACTCATCTCTGACTGCCGCTGAATAAAGCCTGAGACAGAAAGGGAATCACAGCTAATAATTCATCAAAGGTGTGTGTGTGTGTGTGTGTGTGTGTGTGTGTGTGTGTGTGTGTGTGTGGTGACCTGAGAATAAGTCTCATATCTTTCATTTATAGGCCTCTGATACCATCTGACAGAAATCTGTTCTTAAGTGAAGTATTGATAGGTTCATTCCGCAATCTTTACTGTGCCTCCTAAATTGCTGTAATTAAGGCTAGCAAAGTGGAGTGGCAGCAGAGAGGGGAGATCAGGGCTGCTGGGCCTGAACACACATTCTCAAACACACCCACACACACTCTCACACACACACACATACACACACACACACACACACACACACACAGGTGCACAGGCATAGGACACATATAGATGAGCAGTAAATACATTCTTCCCATCACTCCCATCACTCACCCTAAGATGAAGAGCCACGCAGACCCCTGCATGTGATACCTACAAGGTTTTCAATGCCATTAGATTCGTCTGTCTCTGATTGGCTAACAAAGGAGCCCAGAGAGGATGTGACCCTGCACATAAATCTCACAGCTTGTTTTATCTGAAGTAGGACCCAGGCCAGGACAAACCCCACAGACACTCCTCCAAGTGGCTATACCAAACATTAGGTATTGTCCACAAGAATGCGGCTGTGCCAGACCAAGGTCCCACACATGTCTGCCCGATGCTGGGCATCTAATAGGTGCTTATTCGGGGACTGGAAGCCAGGCCTGGGTTAGACACTGTGGTCCAGACACTTCAAAGGAAATGTATGCACCATGTTTTCTATCCTCTGCCCCTGTCCAAACTGAGGAGACCAGTGTGTGTGTGTGTGTGTATGTGTGTGTGTGTGTAACCTTTTTTAAATTGTTGACAGTATTACAGATGCTCCCCATTTCCCTCTTTGCCCCTCTCTACCCAGCCCCGACCCTCCCTAGCCTTCACCGTACTGTGTCCATGGGCTACACATATAAGCATATTTGTTCTTTGGTTAATTTCTTCCCTTCACCCCCAATCCCTTCCCCTCTGAGATCTGACAGTCTGTTCCATGCATCCATATCTCTGGATCTATTTTTTTCATCAGTTTATTTTGCTTATTAAATTCCACATATGAGTGAGATCATGTGATACTTGTCTTTCTCTGACTGGCATATTTCACTTAGCATAATACTCTCCAAGTTCCTCTGTACTATCTCAAAGGATAGCATTTTTGTTTTTACAGTATTCTATGGTGTATATTTACCACGATTTTTCTTTCAGTTGACTTATTTATTTAAAATATCTATTAAAATTAGCAACAATATTTTTACATTTTCCTCAGATTCAAAACAACTAAGAGGACATCATATCTTCATTTTGTGTGTGTGTGTGTGTGTGAAAGAGAATGAGAGTGAGTTTTTGTATGCATGTTTTCCATCAAAAGAAACCTTTTTTATTTGCTCTGAACAAACTTTAGAAATACTTAACAATTAACAGCATTTTGGCCAAAAATGGAATAAGAAAAAACTAGGAAGCATGGAAGATCTAAAGATTTTAATGCATGATTTTAGGACTAAACTTGCCTGTGATTCTAGAACTAAACTATTATTTTAGGATGAAAGTAATGAAAATATTATGTAATTTGACAATGGGGTATTGTCCTATTTAAGGTGTGTTTGTGTTTTTTGTTTTGTTTTGTTTTTGGTGGGAGGTTGTTTTTAAAACCAGCAATTTTTTTTTCAGGTACATATTAGGTTACTTCTATAGATTTGTAATAATAGCCATATCATATAATCATGGTCTCTGTTTAAACATCCATGTAAAACTTAGATGGTTGTTTAGGTAATAGTGGTAATTTAAGTTAAAATACAATACTTCCCAGTATATAATACCAAATACTCATGGGGAATTATGTATTTATGAGAATTATATTAATGAATCTATATTTAAATAATCTATAATAATAAAAAGGTAATATACTAATTAGACTGGATGTCATTCCAGAAGTCCTTCCTGACAAAGCCAGGGTGAGAGGGAAGCCGGCCAGGGTCCCGGTTGCCTTTGGATGGCCTGGGGGAAGCTGGCCCAGGTCCTGGGTGCCAGAGGGAAGCCAGTGCCAGCAGCCAGAGGAAGGAAGGCCTACTCTTGCAGGAATTTTCATGCATCAAGCCTCTAGTACTACTATAAAGTTACAATGCGGTGCACTACAAAGGGTCATTGTGGCATCAATTTAATAAGAGTAGCTAAACTGGAGAAAGTAAAAGCAGAATGACTGGGACAGAAACACAGGCAGATGCTGCCTCCTGGGTATGGGCGCTCAGGACCCAGCTACTGAGGATGCTGAGTCACACCTGCAGGTGACCCTGGATTCTTGAGCTGTCACTGCAGGACCCTCCTCCTTCCTGGGGGCCTGATGAGTCAGGGGATGGCCTGGCACTGCAGGGCCTCTGTGGACTGCTGGGGGAGCAGCGGGAGTTAAAGGGCCACCTGGGAAAGGCTGGAACTTGGACTTGACCTTGGCCAGCATTTGCCTGTTGCGGTCATTTTCTCTCCTCAGGTCCTGGAACTTCTTCTCTATAACCTCAACTGCCATCCAGGCTTCTTCAGCTCTTTTCTGCTGGCATCGGATCTCATTTTGATAGTAGCAAGTGCTTCTTTGTAGTTCCTGGTTCAGGTCTCGGACCATCTTCTTATACGTGTTCAGGAAGTGATAGGTGGAGTTCATGTCCCTCCAGACGGTAGGAAATTTCTTATCCAGCTCTAAGCTGTGCACTTCCGCCTCATTCAGTTGTTTCCGTAGCTGTGTTACATGATCCTCATGTGTCTCAGGCAGAATTCGAAGCTTCAGCTTCAGCTGCTGAATCTCACCTTTTAGGTTTGAATTTTCATGCTGTAAAGATGCTTTCTCAGTTTGCAGACTCCTTATTTCTGCTGCAAGCGCTTCACTCATTCGCTTCTGCTCCCACAATTGTCTGGCCATTTCCTGTTTCTTCTGGGACACATTGACATCAGCATCATGAGGGACACCTTTGAGACCAACTTCAGACTCACCCCCACTTTCTGCTTCCCTCTTTTGTAGAAATTCCAAGTTCCCATCGTCCATGGGATGGCCAAGGTCAGCAGGCTTGGGGATGGTCTTCAGGGGGCTTCCAGCTACGGACAGTGCTGGGCAGACTCTGTCTTGCAGGGCCTGCTCCATTTGTGCCTTCAACTGCTCCAGCCTTTGTTTTGTTTTCACCTGCTCTTGGGTTTTCTGCCTCCATCCCATCATTTCTTCTTGGAGTAGTTCTGGACTTCCTGGATAATGAGTGTTTTTGTTCAAATCATCCATTATGTTCTTCTGAAGTTGTTCTTCATCAACCCCGGATGCTTTTGAGATGGGCTTTTCACCAGTCACTTGGGAAAGTTTAGGAGGTTGGCTCCTGCACGCCATTTTCAGTGTGTCAGCCACGTTCTGGAATGACAAGCTGCTCAAGTGTTTATTCAGTACCCTTAAACTCAAGGTCTGTAACAAGAGAGAACTGGCCTCCACCCCAGGTGACTTGATGGTGTCGGCTTCTGTCATTGGTCCAATAGTCTTACTACAATTTGCACAGACTTCATCACTGGCAGAACACTTTTTACCTGGTGACTTCACTCTTCTTGAAGTGTGCCATCTCTTTACTATCACAGACACCACCACCAGAGCGCCCACCAGGATCCCCCAGAGGAATGCAGGGAGTCTTGGGATGTGTCTCAAGCTCTCAGAAACCACCAACAGCACCTGGCATAGGTGCTTCAGGACCAGCTGGAAGGCGGATGTGATGACAGGCAGCAGGCCCTCCATGGCTGGTAGGGCTCACAGCTCTGCCACTAACTGCTAGTGTCCAGTGGGCACAAATCACAGAACCATGTGGAGCATTCTGTCTCTAAGGTAACAGATACCTAGCAACCAGGGCTGATCTGTTGGGCTGGGGAAGCTGGTAGGTCTAGAAGACAGTCTCTAACTTGGCTCTGAAATAGGACTTGATCACAGACTTGATCACATTTCCACAGGCCTAAGGGCAGGAGGAGAGTGCTGATCGCAGCCTGGAGATCAATTGGTCACTCTAGGCCCTCTTGGCTCCACAGCAACCTCGGGGGTCAAAGCAGGGCCAGGCCACACCTCTTTCTGTGCACAAGAACCAGTCAGGGTTCTCTCCTCTGAGGCTCCTCTCTCCCTGTGTGTGATCACCATGGGCAGGTGGGGGCCTAGGACTCAAGGGGATATTCACTAAGGAACCTGGCTTCCAACCCTGACATCTCAGAAGAAAGTGGTTAGAACTGGGAGAGTCGTACAGTCATGGAGTCTGTGGGGCCAGCAGGTCCTACTCAAGTTTCCTTGAAGAGGGTGACTCTACTCCTGAGTTCCCATATCCTCACGCACTCTGAGATATATTATTCTGTCCCATGTACCCATACCTCTGGACCTATTTTGTTCATTAGTTTCTTTTGTTCTTTAGATTCCACATATAAGTGAGATCATGTGATATTTGCCATTCTCTAACTGGCTTATTTTCCTTAGCATAATACTCTCCAGGTCCTCCATGTTGTCTCAAAGGTAAGATGTCCTTCTCTTTTATAACCCCATAGTGTTCCACTGTGCAAATGTACCACCACTTTTTTATCCACCAATCTACTGGTGGATAAGATCTTAGCACTTGGACTGTTCCAGATCTTAGCTAATGTAACTAACACTGCTATGAGTGTAGGGGTGCATACATTTTTTTCTGATTGGTGTTTGGGAATTCTTAGGATATATTCCCAGAAATAGGACCATTGGGTCAATTGGCAATTTTTTTTTTTTTTGAGGAAACTCTGTAATGTTTTCCACAGTGGCTGCCCAGGTCTACATTCCTACCAGCAGTGCACTAGGGTTCCCTTTTCTTCTCATCCTCGCCAACACTTGTTAACTTATTGATGGTGGGCATTCTGCGTGAGGTGATACCTCATTATAGTTTTAATTTCCATCTCTCTGTGACATTGAACATTTTTTTTCATATGTCCATTGGCCATCTGTATGTCCTCTTTGGAGAAGTATCTATTCAAGTCCTTTGCCCATTTTTAAATTAGATTGTTTGGCTTTCTGGTATTAGTTCTGTATATATTAGTTTAGAAATTAACTCCTTGTCAGATGCACCATTGGCAAATATGTTCTCCCATTCAGTGGATCCCTTTTTCATTTTGTTGATGGTTTCTTTTTGCTGTGCAGAAGGTATTTTAGTTAGATATAGTCCGATTTGTTTGTTTTTCTTTTGTTTCTATTATGCTAGGAAATGTATCAGCAAAAATATTGCTATAAGGGATGTCTGGGATTTTACTGCCTATGTTTTATTCTAGAATTTTTATGGTTTAACAACTTCCATTTAAGTCTTTTATCCATTTTGAGTTTATTCATATGTATGGTGTAAGTTGGTGGTGTGTTTTTGTTGTTGTTGTTGTTGTTTGTTTTTGTATGTACCTGTCCAATTTTTCCAACACCATTTATTGAAGAGACTGTCTTTATTCCATTATATGCTCCTGCCTTCTTTGTCAAATATTAATTGGTCATAATGGTCTGGGTAGATTTCTGTGTTCTGTCCCATTGCTCTATATGCCTGTATTTTCTTTTCTTTAGTGAGTAAGGTATTACATATGTGTCTTTAAACCCCCATTGCCACCCCCTAATCATGCCCTCACCTCCCTGGTGTCTGTGTCTATTGATTAGGCTTTTATGTATGCATACAAGTCCTTTGGTTGATCTCTCCTTTCCCTCACCCTCCCCTACCTTCCCTCTGAGGTTTGACTGATTGATGCTTTTCTGTCTCTGCATCTTTTTTGTTCATCAGTTTATATTGTTCATTGTATTCCACAAATGAATGAGATCATGTGATATTTATCTTTCTCTGACTGGCTTATTTCACTTAGCATAATGCTCTCCAGTTCCATCCATGCTGTTGCAAATGGTAAAAGTTCCTTTTTTTTTTTTTTTTTTTTTTTTTTTTTTTTACCACAGCATAGTAGAATTCCATTATATAGATATACCTCAGTTTTTTTAATCCACTCATCTGCTGATGGGCATTTAGACTGTTTTCAAATCTTAGCTATGGTAAATTGTGCTGCTATGAACATAGGGATGCTTATAATCATTCTGATTGGTGTTTCTACTTTCTTAAATGGGAAAATATATTTGCCAATGTTATCACCAATAAGAGTTTAATCTCCAATATTTACAGGGAACTCATGCAACTTACAAAAGGAAGATAACCCAATCAAAAAATGGGCAATGGACCTAAATAGATACTTTTTGAAAGAGGACATAGGACCTAAATAGATACTTTTTGAAAGAGGACATATATGCCTGTTCTTGTGACAGTACCAGGCTGCTTTGATTACAATGGTTTTTTAGTATAGTTAGATATCCAGTATTGTGATCTCCAACTTTGTTCTTTCTCAAGCCGTATGAGGCTATTAAGGGTTTTTCTTGGTTCTATACAAATTTTTGAAATATTTGTTCCTGATCTGTGAAATATGGTGGTGTATGTTAATAGGGATTGCATTGAATTTGTAGATTGCTTTGAGTAGTATGGATATTTTAATGATGCTTATTCTTCTGATCCATGAACATGTTCCTATCTTCTTCTATTTCTTTTTTCAATGTCCTATAGTTTTCTGTATATAAGTCTTTTGCCTCTTTGATTAAGTTTATTCTTATGTATTTATTTTACAGTGATAAATGAGATTTTTATTTTAGTTTCACTTTCTAAGAGTTCATTATTGTTGTATAAAAATTCCATTGAGCCTGCCAGTGGTTGAGCATTGACTCATGAACCAGGAGGCCATGGTTCAATTCCCATTCAGGGCATATGCCTGGGTTGAGAGCTCAATCCTAGGAGGGGGCATGCAGGAGGCAGCTGACCAAGGTTTCTCTCTCATCACTGATTTTTCTATTTCTCTCTCTCCATTTCTTTCTCTGAAATCAATAAAAACATATAAGAAAAAATGCCATTAATTTCTGTATGTTAATTTAGTATTCTGATACTTTGCCAAATTCATTTATTAAATCTGGGAATTTTTTGGTGGAGTCTTTAGAGTTTTCTATGTACAATATCATGTCATCTGTGAATAATGACAATTGTATTTTCTCCCTTAAATTTGGATGCTTTTTATATTTTCTTTGTGTCTGATTACTGTGGCTAGAACTTCCAGTACTATGTTGAATAAGAGTGGTGAAAGCAGACATCTGTGACTTGTTCTTGACCTTAAGGAAAATGCTTTCAGTTTTTTCCTATTGATTATGATGTTGACTGTAGGTTTGTCATATATGGCCTTTATTATGTTGAGATATGTTCCTTCTATCTCCTCTTTGCTGAGAGTTTTTATTTAAAAAATTGGGTGTTGGATTTTGTTGAATGCTTTTTCTGCATCTATTGATATGGTCATGTGATTTTTATCCTTCATTTTGTTCATGTGATGTATCACATTTATTGATTTGCTAATATTGTTCCAACCTTGTATCCCCAAAATAAATCTCACTTGGTTATGATGTATGATCTTTTTAATGTATTGTTGGATCTGATTTGCTAATATTTTGTTGAGAATATCTATGTTCATCAGGGATATAGGCCTATAATTTTCTTTCTTTGTAGTGTCTTTATCTGGTTTGGGAATTAAGATAATACTGGCCTGGCAAAAAGAACTTGGAAGTCTTCTCTCCTCTTGAATATTTTAGAATAGTTTGAGGATAGTTGATAGTTCTTCTTTGAATATTTGGTAAATCTTGCCTGTGAAGCCATCCTGACCAGGACTTTTGTTTGCTAGGAGTTTTTCATATGTGTATAGAACCTTTAAAGATTGTGATTACATTTTATATTGGGGGGTGGGGGGAGGAGGAGAGCAGGGACAGGCTAACTTTCCTGACTGTGCATGGAAGCGTAGTGTGGAAGGGAAAAGTTCACCAGAGATGGATCCAAATCCCAACCCCAGGCGCAGCTGCAGTACAGCCTCGTGTGATAAAGCCCTTGGAGTCTCGCTCACTAGCTTGTCAAATGGGCATAACAAAGCCTATCACCCAGAAGGTATACCGTTTAGCATATGCGCAGAGCTGCTTACGGTGACTAGTGTTGGTCACAAGAACAAAAGCCAGGCATCTTCTGAACAGGCATCCTTCAAACGGGGGCAGGTGGTCTGGGAGTTCCTGGGACAACAGGGCACACAGCTTCGGGTTTTTAAACATTTCACGAATAACCCACTAATATAATCACTCATATGTAGATTATTAGGAATGACTTAACATTTCATACCATGAGGCATAAAGCATGAAAAAGGTAGAGAAAACATGTCCTTCATATTACAGCACACAGACACTAGCTCAGTTTTCTCATGGTCCCACCCCTGCCTCTTCTCTCTGTCCCACAGGGGAGACCAATTTGTGGTGCAGGGCCCACAAATCTCTGAAAGGCTATATTTTGTATCTGTTCATTTTTTCAGAGAAAAAAGTTTATAACTTTCCTCATGATCTCCTTTATTCAGGGAACCCTTGGCCTAATGGGAAAGATCCATAGCCTGCCCTAGGTCTGAGGGGAGACAGCCCTGCCCTCAGGGAGCCCCAGTCAGAGGGGGACCCTGCCCTGGGACAGATCACCTCTGATGGAAGAAATGCAACTGCTGTCCCCAGGCGCATCCCTGTGTGAGGGAAACAAGAACGAGGAACTATTTGGGAGCACTGGCACATGGTAAGCAGTTGTACCAGCTGGGCCCTGGGCACTGGAGAAAGACTCGGCAAAGGCGGCTTCAGGAGCAGTGAGACGGGGCCCGGCACACCCTCCA